CAGATTGGCACGGTTGTTTACGAGATTGTAACTGGTGATCGACCAACGAACGATCTACAATCTTATTCAGAAAAACAGACCGACCGATACTTTATTACATGAATGCCTATATTAAAACCTATCATTACTAATAAAACTCCACATTAAGCAAAGTCTAAATTAGGTAATAACAAGTCCTGTAAGGGAATAGGCTTCCGCGTCAGCCTAAGCTGACTTCTTTTTTGTAAGATATCGAGAAGAAGAATATTGCGAGCACCTCAAGCTTTATTTTACATTGAGGACAGCAAAACATTTTAGATCCACCTAGCTGTCTATGAATATAACCACAGAATCTACAAGTTTTGCTTGTGTATTCTTCTGTACAAATTGCTACTTGAAGTATTGCCATTTATAGCTTCATAATGTATATCATAAGAAGTCTCAAAAATCTATTTAAATTTAATTTATGGTATTAAGACATTATGTTCTTAAATTCTTTTTTTTTCAATTAATATCTTTTTTGGTCATGATAAAATATTAATTATATATCTATTATGCTATTCATATCCATTACCTAAGTTTCATTCACTTTTCTTGAGTGGAAAAAAGATAGATACATTGTGCTTTGTCTGCTGGAAGTTTTTTTATTTCTTTTCTCTTGGATGACATTTTTTCTTTTTCTATAATTTATGGCAGAAAATAGTTCATTATATTGTATTACAAGTATTATATTCTGAACTAATAATACTAATAATTTTATATCCTGAATAATATTATCAGAGATCTGTAATCTGTCATTCAAGATCATCTCATTGATGTTCTGAACTGACTCTGGCATAACAAACTTTGATCTTTTGCATGGGTTGTTGATCATTTTCAAAGACTCTATATATATATATATATTTGTATTTGAATAGAGTCATTTTTCTCTGAATATTTTAATGATAATAACCTTTCCAGAAGCAGCCCATCATCACAGCATTTCAACCAAGACATCACATGTCTCTTGAATCTTTTTTTGCGCTTAGGTAGATAATCTTGCTTTGATCCAGATTGTATTTTGTTTCTTAGTGTAAATAAAAAATTCTTTAAGAATGTGAGATAATATACAATATAGTATTTGCATAACCTATTTTTCCTTATATTTAGTATAAAACGCAGAGATGCAAGTTAAATAGTACTGGTTTCGAATTTATTAATAATACGAAATGTGTATTTTATTCTGGAATGTTCGAAAATCACGCAACGGTAATTAGAAGCAAAATTAGAAAAGTAAATATGTGCGTGGGTAATTCTTACCCATTTCCTGATATATTCAACAACATGTACATGTATTTATCATATTCTAATGATTAAAAGTTTATTATCCTGCATCCGCGATCGCGACCCCCTTTCCTGTTTTTCTTTGGGAGAGATTATGATGAACACCACTTTGAGCAATAGTAATGTATGGCTGAATAGTTTGTTTAGCTTTTCGTCTATTTTAATATAATTCTGCTCAGATATTACATCCATATATGAATAATTTGATGTATAATAACTTTTATTAGATATAATATAAATTCATTGAACCTGGATCACTATAGTTCAGTTTAATTTGATTTGATTGGACATTGTCCAGTTGACAACACCACATGTAGTAGAAAACAACGACAAATGCCAGCAGCAAACTGACATACAATGACGAACAACAGCAAACGGTAATAGCAATGATATGTGGCATGAAAAATTTTAAAGCAAAAATTTTTTCAATAAAATGATTTTTTTGTCACCTCATACTAAATTTGCTTTAAAGAATCGTTTATAATTTATTTATCAAAATTCACTTTACGAGTCAGCTATGTAGTCAAAAATAGTATAAAGCAAATTATTAAACTCTTGGAATTTAAATAAAGCAAAACGCTTATAGTGGAATTTAGTTTATTGTCCAAGAATTAGGTGACTCAAACTGACTTTAGGATTTATCGCAAAGAAATTCCGACTCAAAAAAATTTTACAAGTGTCCACAGGTAGAATAGTGTTAATACACTTAGTGATTTTATTGAGGCTCGAGTGGTAATTTAATGAATTATTGAAACCCCGCTTGAAAACCACTAGAAATCTGTAACTCATCCCATCCCGCCATATAATCATGCCTTGAAAACAGGAAAAACTGTGATTTAATGAGATTGCGACTATGTGAATAAAAGGTGTGACTATATGGGGATTATTTAGAGAGATGACTATATTTGGGAAAATATACTGTAAATTATACGAAGATATGGCTAATACCGAGCTAAAAGATGATTAATAAGTATATGTACGCGCAGAGATACTACCAAGTTTGGAATAGTTTTTTCTTGTGTATTTATACAAATTGAAGAATTACATCAGAGAAATCTGCTTACTTGCAGAAGTTTCGCTTAAGAGAAGGATAGTGTAAGATAATAAATTTTATTGAACTTATGCAATTTAATCAACGTCAAAAATACATTAAGACAAAAATAAAAATTCAGAAATCGACGTGCATTTCATTCGAATTCAAGAAATGTTTTTGAGCCAAATCCCAAGAAATCAGGATAAATTTTATAATTTAAATATCATATACGAATCTCTACTACGCCCATGTTCTTCACGAAATTATCTTTCAATGGGGATCCTTTGGAAGGACGGACGCAAAAGGGCAGTCACAAGTTTTTTTTTATCAAAAAATACCTTATAATAATAGTAATCAGCATCCATCTGCATTAGCTACTATATAAAATAAGGCGTTTTAGGAGACTCGCTTTTCACAAAATTTGGGATCTGGGCTAACTATTATTACATTGAATTAACTTAGATTCGTACTTACGACCTTCCTCTAATTTAAATTGGTAATTTTGCGTTTGCACATAGCAAAAACGTGTCAGAGTATTAAATAATTATAATAATATAATATAAAAAGACATGGATGCTTGTCCTTGTGTTCAAGCCAAGAATAATTTTGATTTCTTTTAGATAAACATTTGAATAAATATTTTTATCTTAGAAAGAACCAATAAGACCACAAAAACTCGCTAGCCACCATTTTAATTGCTTGCCATATAATTTTTTTCTAGCGATGATTCATAATGATTAAAATTGCGGTGATAAAAGCCTCAACAACTATGCATGCACCTTGAAATCTAATTACAGTATATTATATATCGTATTTCTCCTAATTTTTTTCATGTCAAATGGAACACGAAAACTAGAATGAGATATGAATTTAGATATTATCATTGATGTATATATAGAGTACAGATAAGCACCAAATCATGTCGCATCTTGGTAAAGAAAGCCCGAGTACCATAACAACAATAAGTTACTCTACGCTTTGATAATTATTGATAGACTTTGACGCCAAAAAGTGATACTGCTGTGTTATAGAAGATCTTATGTACATACAGTATGTTAGATTATTACAGATCTAAGATATATCGGAAAATAAATAAAATATATTTGAGAAGAGCGTGTGCGTAGAATTAGCGAATCGACTCATCCTTTCTCGTCGTAATATCAAAAGAACGAATATATGTGGCTTCGACAATTTCAGGGTACCTAGAAACTAATTTAATCAATCTATCAATCGATCAATCTATATTGCATTTTTAATTTTCTTGTGTATTGTAACTCTGTACCGTACGACCTTTGTATTGCAACTTTAAACCGTAGATGGCTATCATAAGAAACTGAAAACATGTTAATTTTCCTAATTTTATTTTTTTCATTTCGCTAATTTTATCTTTCATTTCGCTAAACAAGTTCATCTACATAAAAGAATTAATTAACATTAAAGAAAATGTGAACGCAATTTTTCACACACACGCACGCACGCAAGTACCAAATTACCATTACATGTATAAACATTTTAAATTCAATGAAAAATTTCAGGTTATGTTATCATTTATTCTATTGAAATATGCACTAATAGTATATGTTTGATGGTAATTCACTCGCCCCAAGAAAAATCTTGTCTTATTTGTTCTCAAAGAATTGGCGGGCTGGGTAATTCGAGTATATTTTTTTTTCGGCGATGTATTTTTATTTTTTGTTTGCTCATGATGTGTAGCTTGACCATTACTGGAAACTATTAAATTATAAGATTTTCGTTGAACAAGGTGCAATTCCATGCAAAAATATTATTAAGTCTATTAATAATGATAATAATGATAACAGTAATAATAATAATAATAATAATAATAATAATAATAATTATTATTATTATTATTATTTATTATTATTAATATTAATTATTATTATTGAAAATGATGATTTTCACTGGATGACGATAATTTTCTTTTTCAAGGTAAGGCAAACATGCAAAAATCAGGGTCCAGCAACAGCAAATAAGGAGATAATGGACTAACTATAAGTGAGTGTGCGAACATTTTGAAGATATGCATTTACTCGTGCTCGCGTATTTCTTTTTTTAGTATATAAAATTAAGTCGATATTATATTCACACACGAACAAAGTATAAGCCAAAAAAAAAATTACACGAAAAAAGGCAATGAATTTCTTTATAGAGGTCTATTCATAAAAAAATGTAATGGGAATTTATGTGAGATATGCATTGCATTGTGTTCGTGTAATTCCTTCCTTCCTTATCAATTCTGTTATCCGATCCCCGATTCTTGTTAGGTTACAGAAAACAAACAAACATTGTTGTAAAGAAGAAAAAAATTTTTTTTTCGCTTCTTACGTATGAGATTCTTGCTTGCATGCCTGGGAATGGCTTGGTTATTATCTAGTTTGCATTGCATTTTTCAGTTCTCTGATGGTTTTTTTCAGTTTCATGTAATCTTTTATTGGTTTTGCTGGACGGTTACTGGTGCATTAAATTTTTGAGATACAGATATCGAATATACTTGAGAGAAGTTAGAGTCAACCGAAAAACTTTTTTAACTTGCAGATACCTGCATCATCATAATTTGCACGTTTATTTTAATCAAGCGATCTGAAGTAACTATTATCAAATTTTTATATTATTCAATCAAAGGAAAATAAACTACTTGACAAATATGGGACTCTGGTTAAATGACATGCACGTAATTAACATATGATGGTGTAAGAGAAAATAATGTCAATTCTTGACAATAAAGGAACAGATACATAACAAAAAAAGGAATTCTATCATTTTCAATTAGAAACCGTTTATTTGGAGAGAAAACGGAAAGGTGGAAAAAATGCATACTCTGATTTTTTGATGTGATTTTTTTTGATTTAAATTTTCCTTTCTTTTCTTATAACGCGTAAAAATATCGTATACATATTTAGACATTACAGGTATAAAGACGAATTATATGACGAACAAAATAAATAATAATGGACGGCTAACACCCAAAACCAAGCAGATTATTATAATGAATCTGCTTGGTTTTTCATTGACAGCCTTCCATATGTACATGTATAAAATTGAAGACGAATTATATGATGAACGAATAACGTGTGTCGAAAAAGTAGAAATTGTTTCAACATCACCTTTAGTATAAATATATATTAACCCAACATACTCTCACACAGCTAAAAGAAACAATCAACAAACAATGTATGCAAAACGATCACATTAATTTGTTTGATTGATCTTCAATACAAACTTACTTTTGCTCGTGGCATTTAAAAAGGGTATTTCGTGATTACACCAACATAAATTATTGAACTGTCTTTATCATATTTATGGATGTTGAGTATTGCGGAAGATACCGTCCAAAAAAATATATATATGTATTAATTGTTACAAAATCTTCCTTCCACACCTTCTTCTTCCTCGATCAGGAATTCAAACACGCGAAAAATTTATAAAGGCGTGATCAAAACCAAAATAGGAAAATGACCTCTCTTCATTATTATCAAAGGAAAATTAATTAGTTGCCTATATTTAAAACTATTTAGATCATATATAATATATATACATACATACATACATATATATATATATATCAATTGGGCGTTTTTAGGCTATAAAATTGAACGAAAAGATTGATTCTTTTTAAATTTACTTTTAAACTCCCAAGTATTAGTGTTCGCAGTATAATACTAATAATATAATACTAACAGTAATAACAACAAACAATAACAACAGCAACAACAATAAAAATACGCGTTATTTTAATGATCTGTTTTCACCATCTCGAGCATTTTTTTTTAATCTTGAATTCTTTGCCGTAAAAAGTAAAAAAGTCAAGACCAACGAGACTTTCAAACACCATTAAACACACTTGCATACCTCGCGCACATAGATACATAACGCATAATACACAATACCCACAATACATAAACCACGGTTTTCTTTTTTTTTTCCCGTCAAAAAACTGGTCAACCCAACCAACCGCCCACTTTTTTTTTGAACTCCTGAAACGAGATTTTTTGGTTGTCCATGCTATTATTATTGTCGTCGCGTTAATAATAATAATAAATATGAATTTTGATAAAATAGTCACGCTCTTTAATTCGGCTTTGGACCCTTTTTTTCTTAAAAAGCGACCTTCCCCTCCAGAAATCTTAATAATTAATAATAATAATAATAATAATAATAATAATAATAATAATAATAATCATAATAATAATAATAATGATAATGATAATGATAATAATCCTATTGCCTCTAACACTATAAATAACGATAATCCCAATGATATTACTATCGAGGGTAATAATGGTAGAAACAGCACAATCCTAAAAGTAACTTCGGATAAGTGCAATGTACAAATTCAAGTCTATCAACAACCACAGCAACATGAAAGTCAACATAATCAGCAACAAGAAGATAAACAGCAACCTCCAAATAATGATGCAAAATATTTAGTCCAAGTGATCCAAGTAATTCAACGACCGGGATCTCCCAAAATAAAGGAACTTGATACATCATCCTCAATTGATGACTCACGTCGTCGTCATACCAAGACTACGACCACGACCACTAAAAAACATACCACTAAAACTAAAACGACGACTGTCATACACGAGAAAAAGTATGACCTTAATCCACTCGATGATGCCATCACCGTGGATGAGTTTTATGATAGTGATTGTAGTAGTGATTCGGATTTAAGTGATTTTGAAGAAATGTTTAAAAGCAGAAGACCAAGATATTTCGATTATCCATTCAGAAAAAAGGGAAAAAAGGATATTCATAGTAGTTCAAATTCTTTGTTCTCCTCGTCGTCGTCTTCTTTACCAAGTTTCGTGGAGAGGATTCGAAGTTCTACAGCGAAAAAACTTTCGAAAAGATGTTCGAATAATAGCATCAACATTAATAATAATAATCTTAATCATAATGATAGTAATGACAACAACAACAACAACAATAATGATGATAATAAAAATGCGCCAAAAACCAACAATCAAATCAAAACATTTCATCGTCTCTTCAAAAGTTCGCTTCGACGCACAACATCTTCACCGATGATGCGAAAAATTTCCCTTGCCATGCAATCATCGGCAACGGATTCGGTATATCCTACGGACCCAGAGTCAAGAGAACCTCTCGTGTTCTCAACGCCGAGTCCAGAACCTAGCGTTCCATTATGGTCTGAACAAGTGGATCCAGATACTAAAAAAGGCATGGATCCAATGGCGATCTTGAGACAAGAAGTGATTTTCGAAATTATCAGAACAGAAAAGGAGTTTGTCGAAGATCTCAAATATTTGTTAGAGGTGATTATCATCAAATTTAATATTGATATTATGTTTGCTAATTTTTTCATTCGTGCGTGTAGACTAACTCGTGTAATTTATTAATTTTAGTATTATGCATCGGCAATACTTGATTCTAATGTTCATGTCCCGAGAAGTTTAATTCAGGCATTTCACGTGCTTCCTGAAATTTATTACCTTCACAGAGATACATCTAGGGTAAGATTTCTTTTCTGATCGCTGCTCTTTGAATTCCTTATACCTTTCAATCGTTAATATCTTATGTTTATATAGCAATTGTTAAATCTCCAAGCGATCTATCCGGTGGTTCCATCAATTTCTCACGTCTTGAGCCATTTGGCATCTCATTTTCGCGTCTATGATCGTTTCTTACACCATCATAAAGACGCAATTAGTCAAATAGCAATTGCACGAAAAAAGACGAACAAGTTCGGCCAATTGATTGTTATGCTTGAGGCAAAAACCATGAATTCCGGACGATATTGTTCTATCGAAAGTTTATTGACCAAGCCAATTCAACGACTGTGCAAGTATCCTTTGTTAGTCACGGTTAGTATTCTTTTATCATAAAGGATAATTAATGGATGTCGATTGACAGAATGAACAGAACTAATTGAATTTATATTCTATATATAGACCTTAATGAGAGCCACTTCACCTGAAGACAAAGATCACTCTCAACTTCGTTCATTGTTCCAAAAGTTGGACGCCGCTATCCGAGAGCTTCATCAAGAACGAGATAATCGCGCAAAAAAAGAATTGGAGCAATTAAGTCGAAAACTAAGTTTGGGATTCGGGGTAAGCTTAATTTATTCAATAAGCATTTGATGTATTTTCTCTCGGCACTCGCTGATCAACTTCTTTTTTGTTCTTTCAGTTCATGTCAACTCCATTTTCGGTAAGAACTTCAAGCATGTCCTCCCGAATCCATAGTCAACAGCAACCGGATTGCAACTTCAAATTAAGTGATGTGACGACACCTCTCTCGACATCACTGCGAGCAAGTTGATTGATTCCCTCAGAATAAAAAGGGACAATCAACAAAAAAAAAGCCACGATCTGTGTGTCGTATTTTTTTGAGCGATCGAATTCACGGGAGAAAGTTTTCTTTCTCTCCTTCATATTGTATATATGGTAAAATTATTTTCATTCATCCTTTTTCATTCATTTTATCAATTGTAAAAAAAATGTATACAATTGTTTTAACAAAGTGTACAAACAAAAATTTCTCGCATTCATCCCCCTTTAAATTCGTGTCTTGTAAATTTGTCCCGGTTTTTTTGTTGTTACCGGGACGAGGATTGTTGGTTCTTTTGATTTTTGGGGAGGTATTTTTCTTTTTCATTTTGTAGTTTGGTGGCTGTTGTAGGTTTAATATGTCAAATAGAAAAAGGGCTTTTTGGTATTTGATTTGGGATTTCAGTACATGTTCCTTTCATCATTTTCGTTTTCATTTACCATCCAGCATTGCATCACCATCATCATCTGTAAATATTTACAACATACACACAAACATCTTTACTTGTGCATAAAAATACACACACACACATACATACATACCAAAGAAGACATCTTTTACTTACGCGTAATACACACATCGAAGAAGCATTCATTCATTAGCGAACCAATCGTTCAATCGTAGGATTCACTTTTTTTCACTTTAAAATTTTAGATTTTTGATGATTCGCATTCAATTTCTAAGACACTTTGATAGTAACTCTTGGTTTTTGGTTTAATTGTTGTCTTTGTTGTCCGTCATTCAAGCGGGATTTTATTCTTGCAATTGAATCACCAAAAAAAATAAAATTTATCATTTATCAGACATTAATTGAGATGCTATATAATGTACAATTTGATGATCAAATATATGATCGCAATCCTGGTCAGAACATGAATTGATTTGATTGCTCAAGTGATTTCAAATCAGTTTAAAAATCGTAATTATCGTCCTCCTCGTTCCGTGGCCGTTTATATCCTTCAGTTGCAGGACTCGTGACAGTACTTTGTGTAGTTGATTCTTGCATCTCGTAATCTTCATTGACTTGCGAGAATAATTCATCATTATTAGATAGATTTTGTAATGGCAAAGTCGTTGGTGATTGTTGTGCGAATGATGAAAAGGAAGATGATGGAAGATCAAATTTTAGAATAACATTGTCTTCATTGTTATCGTCTTCATCTATTCCATCGTCGTTGATATTATTATTATTTCTGACTCCATCATCTTCATCGTAGTCATCATCTTCTTGTTTGAAACTTCTTTCTATTGCTGCTTGATCCTCTTCGTCATTATTAATGTTATTAGTATTAATGTCCTTATCGTAATCCTCATCATCGTTATGATTAATATTATTGGAGAAAGGTGTTTGTGTACTTGTTGATGGTGGGGTTGGATCTTCAGGGCCGAGAAATTGTTGCTGTTGTTGGTGTTGAAGAAATTGTTGTTGAAATGAAGATGATGATGCTTGCTGTGGTGTTGTTGATTCTTGTGTCTAATTCCAAAATAAGTAGATATGGATCATTCAAAGAATCAAAAAGAACTGTTTTCTTTATACATTCTCTCTCTATACCTCAGGTATTAATTGAAAATTGACAGCTGTCATGCAATAATGTTCTGGTGGTAATCGCAATCCATATTTTTCTGGAATATTCGGTAACCTCTCTTTATTTACTTCTCTGGCCAATTCAACCAAAAACTATTCAAAAAAATCATGTTTAATATTTTAAATGATCTTTCGCTTTTTAATCAATGATCAACCAATCAATCAATATAATAATGTGTGAACCTCTTTTGAAGGTGGTGAAGTGAACGAATGGTTGACGCGTCCTTGAATCGCTAATTTTACATCATCTAAATCAAGGTCATTTATTCTACCAGCGTGTTCTGAATATATTAATGCGTCTTGCAGCACGTCTACAGAATATCCTATCGACGCTAGCATTTTAGCATAACTCGGGAAGTTTGAAAAGAATATTTCGAATTATCATTAAGAACATACTATGTGCAAATTCTAGCAGTTGCTGAACTACCTTTGGCTCATATTCATCCACACCCGCAGAAGAAAGCATTAATGCAATGATTTTGGCGTCGCGTGGTGATTGTCCTTGTGAGCTATGTGAGGCCATTTTCGCAACTATCAAATGGAAGTAATAATGGTGCCGACGTTTGTTTCTACTTAAATTTCTTGGTAACACTAATCAAGTGATATAATAACATCGTAATTCTGTGAAAAATTTTACAAGTGAATTTTCTTTTCTTATTACCAGACTTTTACATATGGTATGTTTGTGTTTTACGGCTGTAATGAAATATTTTCTCGTTGTTGAGTCTTTTTGGACCCAAGAGCGTGTGTGTTGCTAAAGTTGTTCGAAACGGTTCTTTCTTTATTTTCACAGGTTTAAAAATAAAAGTTCCAATTTTATATTTATAAGTAATAAAGTATTTTTTTTCATTTCATAAAAAATAGGCCAAACGAACAAAAAAGGTATAAATAGTATATAAAATCTTGAATACTTCATAAGAGATCAAATAAATTTACGACACATCTCTATAGGTCGGAGTTGTCGGTAAATACGGCACACGATATGGTGCCTCGTTAAGAAAACAGATCAAAAAGATGGAGATTACCCAACACGCAAAATATACTTGCTCTTTCTGTGGCAAGGTAAATTAATCAAATCAACCAAAAAATATTATTGCAAGTGATAATTTTTTTAAAACGTATTCTTCATCTATATTATAGGACACAGTAAAAAGAAAAGCAGTCGGGATTTGGCAATGTCGCGCTTGTAAAAAAACGTTGGCTGGTGGCGCTTGGACCGTATCGTAAATATTAATCAATATTATCCTCTGTTTATGCATGTTATGCCGAATTATAATTTTATCATCCTATTCTTATATGTTAAATAGCACTACTACAGCTGCCACTGTTCGATCAACCGTGCGTCGCCTTCGTGAATTGATGGAAGTTTAATGAATTTGTGAACATTATCATCACTCATTAGAATATAATAAAATGTGATTTGTATGTTTAACAAACAAACGTGAAATTTACATTATTATGCACATTAATATTAAATTTTCTGGAATGTGATCATCGTCAATCAAATAATACAAGAGTTCGAATCTAATTTATTATAATCACAAAAGAAGTCCAATTAAATGGATATTTCAATTAGGTGTATTAGTTAAGCAAGTTTAGGGTGAAGTAATCGACTAGTAAGTTCCTTCCATAAAATTTGTCGCTCGTTCAATACACTTCCACCAAGGACACTCGAATTTTCTTGAGCACGACGCAATAAATATGGTATTAGGTCAACGATCTTTGAAACAACAAAAATTTCATTATTATCATGTTGAAATAAATAAATCAAGATGACAATTAATAAATAGTTACTTTGCCGTAGGGAACATATTTATAAACGGCGTAACCATGTTTACCAAGAGTGTATGAAATATGATCACACATTCCTACACACATGCATCATGATTATAGATCGTAAATTTTTATTCCTATGTTATTTATACACACAGGGCCAAAACATACCAAATAATTGTCCGAATAAAACCAAACCAGATTTTGATGGTATTTCAAGATTATCCATTAATGTGCACG